TTAGTGTGATGTTTTGATGGGTTTATTTCTTGTTCACAGTAATAATTTTGGTTAGGAAAATCCAGTAAAATGATGGATCAGCACCTAACCCTTTTTTTGGCTCACAGTTTAATGCAGCTGCAGGGAAAATAAACGTCATCCCTTGACGGATCAAATCTGCCTTGTCCGGATGAACAGATGTTGTTTTTTTTTCTGCTTTGTTATTTAGACTATTGTTGCTCTTCTCCAAATAAGAAGAAGTAAAATTATTTTTTTGTTTTGTTTTAGAAAATGGAAGACAAACTGGAAGAGGTACTCCGAGAGTTCAAGTCACTCAGGGACCGTGTCATCCTTCAGGACCGCCGGATCGCCCGACTTGAAGAGCAGGTCGCCAAGGTCACCATGTAAGATGCAGAGACCCTTGCCAGGACTGCTGTTTTCCTCAGCAGTCAGCTGCGGCCAAATTCTCAAGATTCAGCTTCACCGAGCTTGGTGTCGGTCCCATTCCGCCGAGACCAAGCCCCACATTCCAAGACCATCTTTATTTTACGCTCATCGGTCCTCCTGTTTCACACTCTGCCCTGACTCCCTCAGAGAGAAGAGGGAAAAAACTTTTAGAGGTCATGTTCACATCTTTAAGAAAAAGACGTTTTTCTTTTTTTTTTTCATTAAAGGAAGTCTTAAATGTTTTTATTTTTCAAAACGTGGTGAAACATTCTTATGTGAAGATTGTACTTACTGCTCAACAACCGTAGCATCAGTATTTCCATTGTTCTTATTGTGTTGCCAAATATGAATTGTGTGCCGTTTCATGCACTGCTTTTACGTCGCTGTTTTTTTTTACCCTGCTGTTGTACATTCCAGTCACAAGAAGGTAGAACAGTAAAAGTCAAGCTGGATTTTTTTTTTTTTTTTTAAACGCTAGCTGTCAGACTGTTTTCTTCCCACCAGTTCGCCTATTGGTGTCAGTCAGTTTTAGGAATATGGAAGACATCCTAAAAACAACTCTCTCCTACCCTTTTGTGGCTTTAACTTACCATTGAGGCCCCAGTGTAGAGATGGAGGGTGGGTGTGTGGTGCCTCTTGTCGAACTAAAGTTGCCCTCTCTATGACCTGGTTGTATTGGGAAGGAACCACTGGCAGCCTGTGTTTTACTGAACCGTCGACAGACAGCTCTGCACATAAATAAAGGTTTTACACATGAAAACACTGGCTCTTCTCCTCCTTATCTCACCCTAATGTCAACAGTTTCCTCTATTTCACTTCTGCCATCAGACAAGTATGTCCAAGTTTAGCTAATCAGGTTGGTAAGAGTTTTCAACAACTGTTGAGATGTTTTGTGTTGCTTCTTTAGTATGTTTATTGGCCTTATGAAGCCATATATCTTGTGAAATTCCTTGGTCCCTCTTTGTCTGAAATGTCTTCAAAAATGTGGATCTTTGTCACTGAGTGTTGTTGCAAGCTATAAGTGGATTAAGGAGTAATAGCTTCTTCCTTTAGGAGTGGCATTTCAGGGCTTGTTGGTCAATGAGGCATTTCACAAAGGGGTTTGACTCCAGCTTCAGTCAGCATCTTCACCATCTCTTTAACTTTTGTTGTGGGATTAATTCCCACCTTTTACACCAAAACACATTCATCCTGGGAAAGAAAACGTATCCGTTCTCAGAGGTAACACTGCTTAGAAATCCCATAGTGTTTCTGCTTTTGTATTTTGATTTAGGCACCTGGAAATTGTACTTTTAGACTGAACCAGGTTCAGCATTTTCTAACTGTTATATTGGCTTTTTTATTGTAGTTTTACAAAGATGTGTCAGAAGAAAGCAGTGTACATTTCTAAGTTTGCCTCTGTTTAACGTACAAGGCCATAACATTGTCCTCTTGGCTTTCCCAAATTAATTGTCTTATCCCAAGTAAAGCTCTGAAACCTAAGATATCTACCAGTCTTTATAGCTCTTCCTCTGTTTTTTGGCATTTAACAAACAGAAATGATTTTAGTGATCCTCACTGGTGTAAAACCTAAAAAAAATGGGTGGATTAAATGTCATCCATAAGGGAGTGTCTTTTTTGTGTGCAAAAATTTGTATATAGGGTCTGTTTAAATTCTGCAGGTGATAAAGAAAAATAAATGCTGTCAGATAGGAAAATGGATGCTCCCTATCAATAGTACATTTAGCATCAGGACATCATAACATTACTGTCATCCTCTAAAAGCTACGCGTTTGCCAAAAATATGTTGCATGACAGAAATGTAGCAATACTTTTTTTTTCTCTAACTGAGCATAAGGCATGCTAAGGTACACATATTCATATGTTCTGTGTTTCATAATAGAGGGCTTCAGCCATTTGCTACAATTTGGAAGGATAGTTTTAATTTCTCACAGTTATAATTTCCCTTTCCTCTTTTTTTCTGTTTATAACTAGAAGTTAACTTTAGAAATGGAATGTGCTGGAAAAATCCCATTACAATAATTAAAAAGGAAAAAAATTATAAAAGGGGTCAAATGGAGAATGTGTAATCTGGGATACAGATTAAAGATTTAATTTCAAACAAATAAATGTATTTATTTACTTGTTTTTTTTTAAACCTTCATGGTAACCCATAAACAACAACAGAGCATATAAGTGTCCTGAATGTTGTGTAAAACCACATGTCAGGGTGACTCACCAGTGCAGGAAGTGACAGTTATGGTTTCCACATAAGATGGACGAATCTGTTTCCATACGGTTGTTTAAAGTTGTAGAAAAAGAACAAGTTAAACAGTGTGTTACAAAGTCAGACCACTATCAACATTAATCTGACCCCCCTACGTTATCTCAGAATAAAGTTAACTGACTGTAGAAGGAACTCTAGTTAATTCCAATGCTTTCTTAGAGGAAAGAAAAAACAACTTCCAAGAAACAATGATGTCCTCATGTGACTGATCCTCAGACCCTGTGGTCACTTGTCAGAACCTTGAAATCTCCCATTTACCGCCTTTCTCCCACATGACATACAGCTTTATGTTTGAGGCAAAAATGTGATTAAGGGTTGTCATACAGCAAGCTGTTTTTTTACAGAACTGAGCACTTCCTGCTCTTTCAGACAAAGCAGTAATCTAGACATGCAAAGGACGCTCCACACCAGTGGATCTGAGCTCTCTGCTATCTTGAATCTGTCAGGTGAGTCCCATGCTAATAAATACAAGCTCCCATAACTGCTGATTGAAGAGTTAAATTAAGAGATCATGGTCTCTTTAAAATCCTCATTCTGGTTAATGCATGGGGGTGTGCATTTCAAAGGGAAGTGTCTCATCGTTTCTAAGCCATCTAAAGATGTGCTATCACGTCATGTATTCTCTCTACATGTTTCCTGTTTCTGTCATCAAGCAGAGCAACAGTCACCATATCAGTGCTTTGAGGACAAACGCAAAGAACACCTGAAATGAGCTGATGTGAACTTTTTTTGGGGATTAAGCATCGGATACGTCCAGCAACAAGGTAAAACTTCAGCTGTTGAGTCATGAAATACTCCTTGAGATAAATTTGGTTGCTTAGTGTACATGCATAGAACAGTTAAGTAGAAATGATTGGGATAAGTTCCTCAACTTCATAGTTTATTGCATTATGGTAATACTGACTTTGAGCAATTCATTACCTGGATAGAGTAAACAAATATCTACTTTTGCTGTAATTCTTTGATATTTTTCTGTAATAATCAAGTAAATAGGTGTGGCGATGCCTCATGGTGGTTTCATTATATGTAGGATGTCATTGGTACACAGTTTCCGCTTGTCTGTAGTACCAATGGGAAGTTTATATACACTCATCCTGTGCATGACTATATTAACTAGGGTTTTTTATATATATATATATATATATATATATATATATATATATACAAAGTTCCAGCATAAGTCAGATCTGTTCATTAGCCAGTCAGTTGGTCAGAATTTGTATCGTTCATTTAATTTGTTTGACCTCGTTCTTTGGGGTCAAGGACATGAGGAAAGCTGAAAGATGGTCAGAACAATCAAAACAAGTGAAGCAAACAAGGCTCAATCCTATCGGTATCTGGAGCATGTTGAAACACAAATGTCACAGTTCACAGCAAAGATAGTTTTACATTAACATTGACTAAAAGTACATAAAACAGGAAATGCATTTAACTCGTCCCCTTTGGGAGCAGTGGGATGCCATTGTTTGTGGCACCTGGGGAGCAGTGTGGGGTTAAGGGTCTTGCTCAGGGACCCAGAGTGGCAGTCTGTGGGAGTGTGTGGGGCTTAAACTCAGACTCATTCGCAATTCTCTAACCAGTAGGCCCCTGCTCTCCATAAAGGAGCCCCTGCTTCAAAGTCAATGTATTCAAGTTTGATGGAATTTTAAAATTACCTAAAAGGACAAGATAGATGCTTTCCTGTGAAAAGTGTAATGTTTACACAGAAGGGAGAATTTAGCCATATTGACAAAAAAAATGTTTGAATGAATTTCAAGATTTAAAATAGTACCATCTACCGTACCAAGAATGGAGTATCAGTGTCATACTGAGGATGTGTTTTGCTCCTTGGATTATTCCTGGACAAAGAAGATGGAAGAATGTAAGATGAGGGCAGCCTCCACATTCTTCAACCTATTTTTGAAATGAGGATCAATGGAAACTAGATAAAGTCTCAGGTAAAAAAAAAAATCAAGAAGCTTCTGAGTCTTACCTGATCTCACCCCAGCTGAACATTTGTGAACAATTTTCGAAAGCTTGGTCCATTCCGAGTAAAATCAAAATATTCAAATTGCAATTAAACTAAGAAAAGTTTTGAAAATCCAGCCAGAGCTGTGTTTACTGTTTTATTTTCTGCTGCTAAATACAATTAGCCATTATATATACCCTGCTGATTGCATTTATCATGTATATACTTGTGTGTATACCTTTGAACAGGTTAGTTCATGATGAATTTAAAAGAGACATCCTAACTTTTCATCAGAACTTTATATCTTTAACTAATGCCTGTAATTGTTTCCTAAATTATATTTCCTATAATTTCAGATTCTGTATCCAACAATGAAGCCATCCAGCATGATATGCACTCTGCTGCTGTGGGGTGTGTGTGTGTGCGTTCTGTTGGCTGAGGAGCCTGTGACGAGTTCGGCACCAGACAACAGTAACACAAACATTACTGCTCCAACAGACGTCACAACCACCCAACAGGTCACTGCACACAAAAGTGTGTTGAAGCCTGCAACCTTGCACCCAACAAAACCTGCAGATATTACTGCAGGGCAGAAAGTGTTACCCACAACGGTCCCTGAAGATGGAATCAGAAAGAAATCTAACAGCTCAGCTGGGGGGTGGCTCGAGTTGACAACTGCTGAACCAGCAACTAGCAGCTTCAGACTTCTCACCCCGACAGAAAAGGTAACTGCTAAGGAGGTATTTCCTGTAAAGACGACAACTGCAACTGAACAAACTCTGCCTGCGGGGTTTATGACTACAGACAGACCACAGTCTGTCAGGCCAACAATCACAGCTACAGTGACCACAGCGAGTCGAGGAGCAGCATCTTCATCGACCCCCACTGCTGCCAGTACGGAACAGTTTTTCTCATCAAAGACCACAGTTGATGTGCAAACATCCTCTCAAATCACATCAACTGGAAGTGGACTACAACAGTCTACAGCCCTGAGCACGGCTACAAGTGAAGCACAACCTTCTAATCTTACAACGATGACCGATGCAATAAATCAAACAATAGAGCATCCCTACACATCAACTTTCACTGACGTGGCAGCTTCTACAGCCTCACATGTTCCTACGCAACATTCTACATCCATTACTGGTTCTAAGACAGAGGTACCCTTCACCACCTCTTTGGGTACATCTACTCAAAGCACTGAAGTTCCAACCTCAGGAACTTTTCGATCCACCGGCACTGAGCTCTCATCCCCATCCTATCCTGTTCCTGCCACAACTACCTTCAACTCCACACCAACAGGACCAGTTTCCACTTCAACTGATTCTTCCAACACCACTACCGCCAACTTTAGCAGTCCAGCATGGGTTTTTAATCCTCGCAACCGAGAGTCAACTACAACATGGGCTCCATCAACTACAAAATCACCCTGCGAAGCGTCGAAGGGTTCCTCAAGTAGTGAGGTTCTGCCCTGCTCCACCAGGGGAGTGGTGAAGCAGTGCCTCGTCATCATCGCCGTTTTGGCTCTGGTGGCCACCATCTTCATTGTCTCCACCATTATCCTGTGCGTCAAGCTGTCAGCAAGGAAATACAAAGTAAGGAAACCTCAACAGGCCACCGAGATGACGTGCATCTCCTCTCTGCTACCTGACAGGAGTATCACCTACACCAGGCAGCGTAATCCGGTGAGCAACGGAGTCCTGGTGTTCCCTGGTGTAGGAGACAGTGACGAGGAAGGCGGGGATAATCTCACTCTCAGCAGCTTCCTTCCGGAAAATGACCGCTATGTTTAGGTGGATTTACGCAGTGATCTGAGACTGTACAGATGGTCAGTGATGCAGAAACTTCTAAATTCATGTGGTGGACACATTAAACGCAGAGGAACAGATACACAAACCACAATGTCATGTCGCTTCTTGCTCAATGCTCCAGCTGCATCTGCCATTTGATCTGAAGGATGTAGACTTTGAGCATAACTTTACACATGCTGCCCCCCGGGAGAAATGAACTCAGGATGCAGAGAAAGATCAAAGCTGCTTTCCGTTTTTTTTACTTTCAAGCATCCGGACCAGAACTCTTGTGGTATTTTACTTTGCAACAAGAGACAGGAAGTCTTGCTTTATAAAGAGCCCTCCCTGTTCTTTACAGACACTGTAGATAAAAAAAAAATTATTTCCAACCATCAAGGAACTTTTTAGACCTATGCCCTTTTTGGAGACCAAGAAGTTAAATGCGGCCCTTTCTTTAATTAATAGTTAGCTTCCATCAAATGAGTTTAGGAGTCTATTAACATGTGATATTGAGACAATTTTTCTCACGCTTCTTTGGGAAAATTATCAAAGCTGCTGTTTAGAGCAGATTTATTTCAGATCTAAGCTCCAACTGGCTCCATCCTTATCCTTAAACTTAAGCTGGTGAAGCCATATTTTTGTTGAGGCAGATAAATTATTAAGAAGAAATCAGTTGGTCTCATGGGTTTAAGGACAGAGCTCACATGTATGAATATTTGCTGTTTCTCTCAGTTCTTTACCGTTGGGTTTCTTGCACCACTGTTTTAAAAGCCAGATTTTCTACATACACCACTAACAGTGCTAACAGGTTCCCCCACCTGAGTTTTGGACCTCTGTAGCTCCTCCAGAGTTCTTATTGACTGTTTTTTTTGTTTTGTTTTATTTTTTTTTATTATTAATGTTGTACTTTCCTGACTGGTAAGTTTAGTGGTTGCATGTGGTGCTAATACTTGTTTTTTTTTTTTTTTTTTTTATTAATGTTGTACTTTTCTGACTGGTAAGTTTAGTGGTTGCATGTGGTGCTAATACTTGTTAACAACATCATTTGCCAAGATCCAATCCAATCCAATCCACTTTATTTATATAGCACGGTTTAAATAAACACAAGGTTTCCAAAGTGCTGCACAAAAAGATAAAATAACTAAAATAAATAAAAGTAATAAAATAAAATAAAAGCACTATAGATCAAGATATACATTTTATTTTTATTACTCCTTGTGCCTTAAACCCAAAAGGAAGATGGGGAGTGTTGGCCGAGTGGTAAGAGCAGTGCACTTGTGCTCTAAGAAGGTTGTAAGTACTTGGTTCCATCCCTACAGCCTCCACTCTAGGTCTTTGTGCAAGACCCTTAAACCCACACTGCTCCCCAGGCGCCGCACAATGGCAGCCCACTGCTCCCCAAGGGGATGGGTTAAATGCAGAAGTAAATTTCTCCAGTGTGAGATCCACTAATTTCAATTATTATTATTATTATTATTCACAAGTAGATCTTTTACAGATCAATGTGGGCTGCAGGGAAAAACCATCATACATACTTAGAAACAGTTTGTACTGGCAACAGTGACTACAGTCTGTAAACATGTAGCCATGTTGGAAACCAGCACCAATGTTCCTCAGAAAGGTTTGTCTTTCTCTGTAATAGATGCAGCTTTAAGGAAGTATCATCTGAGACGTAGCTGAAGGATCAAGGCGTTATTCTTCATCACCGTTTTAGACAAAGATTGAATTATGGTATTTGGCATCCAGTTCCAACTGAAGAGAAACAGCCCTAGACATGATGCTGCCACCCCCATGCTTGACTGGGGGTGTAATTCTCTTTTTAGTTTGATCTGCTGTGTTTGCAACAATGTTTTGAAACTATGGCCAAAAATGTCAGTCTTGGTTTCCTTAGACCACAACACATTTCCCACCATGCTTTTTGCTGAATTCAAGTTAAAATCTTACCACTTCATTTGAACTCCAACTCAGACATATAGCAAGCATCAGAGATTATTCCAAAAAAGTATAAAAAACTAAGAATCTTCACCAGTACCTCAGAGATTATAATAGCACTGTGCCACCAATACCTCAGAAATTCCTGCAGCTCTTTAAAATGTTGCTGTCTGGTTTTGGTAGCAACCTTGACTGGTGTCCATTTTTCAGCATCAGTTCCATTGATGATTGTTTCTTTGTGCTCTATCGTACTTCTAACACTTCATATCTTCTCACGACCGACAGCTTTTTGACCCAGTGGTCCCTCTAATGCAGTGGAACCTGTCTGTATGCCCTTATTCTCCCTAAAATACGATAAAAGTTAGGGAACGACTACTAGAAGAGCTGAATAGATCAGAGGCTCCTTAACTTGCTGCGTTTTTTTCCTCTCACTCTTATTTATATGTGATTTATCCTCATAAAAATATCTTTTTCTTTTTTTTTCATTTGAATTGCTCAGGAAGAACATTTCTTGAACTTTAACTATTTATTTTTCTTTCATCAAATAATTGTTGCATTTTCAAGGGGCTGTATAGGTGTTTTATATCCAATAAATAATGCTTTTGAAGTAGTTTTCCTACTTTTAGGGCTAAATCATTTTGATTTCTGGCAATAAAAAATAAAATCTGAATAGGTCTTCATCTGAAAACCAACTATTGGAGTTTATCTTTACCACATTTGTTTCTGGAAAATTGTAAATTACCAACAAACTGTACAGATGGAGAGTTTTGTTTTCTTTGCTGCTGAAGCTCTAATTTTCCACTTTCTGCCTTTTATTTTTCATGTCTTTTCAATTTTACTCTCACAGAAATCTCATTACATTCAGACTGGTGAAGGAGTATTTTAATACATGTGCTTTCACCAATTAGGCTTTGCACAGACTTTTGACAGAAAGATTTATCTATAATCAAGTTATGCCAGTATGGAGACAAATATTATTAAAGCCTCAAATCCAGGAAATTGAGGATGAATCTGATAACTTGTTTGGAAGCTGTGACCTTCTCCATGCACTGAAAGAAACCTGAAATCCCAGTATTCCTTTTAAACTTGAATGTACTGTTTTAGCTGTTTAAAGTAATCAGAGTGTTGTTTAAACTCAGCAAAAATAACCTGTTTATCGCTCAGATTCATACACTTGTTTTACCCAACTTCAGCTCCTTCTCCTGCTGCCAGTCAATAGATTAATATGACGCAATTACCTATGAAGTCTGTAGAAATGTATTAACAGAAAACTGTGTTTCACCATTACATGTGTCGTTTTTTGTGATTGTTTTGTAACCTCTCTTTATAGATCTCTAAAGGGCAAGCAGCCATAATAAAACTGGATCTTCTCTAAACCCAGTCAGTTCCCTTATTTATAAAAGGCTTCACTGACTACCTTTCTAATCAAACAGGGGTGTCGTTTTTTACATTCACTTCCCTTCCTGCAAAAAGATAACACTTCTCTGAATGCTTATTAGCCTAACAAAGTCCCCTTTCTCCCTTTTGTGTGCCTTATCTAATAAGTGAAGCATGCAGCAGTAACTTTCAACAAAGCTGAGACTAATGTAAACCTTTTGAATGCCAGACGTCATCCCATGCTCCTCTTGACCATATAAAGCCGGGATTGTCTTCGATCACAGACAGCTGAGTGCTAAAACAAAAAAAACATGCATCCGCTCATGCACAGTCACACACACGTCCTAAAGTGGTCACACACTCAGCATGTGGGCTGAATCGTTTGCCTGTGGATAGAAAAACACCTCATTGTTTATAATAGTTTCTAGTCCATGGCCTTCTCCTTCCCTCTTTTTTTCTGGTTGTTAAGGTTGTTTTGTCTCTACAGGAAACATTAAACCTCTTCCTGCATTAGCAGGTCAATTACACAAACTGCTACTTTTTTTAACCCCAGGTAGTCTACTGTTTTTCATTAGAATGACTTTAACTTGATATTCCACCACATGTTAGGATTAATCTGATAGACGTATTGGAGTCGAAGGTTATATTGTGTTTTTTTAAATGCCTTAATCGCTTATTTACAAGGTCCTGCAAAATTATCTATATTGCTGACACTTTTTCTAAATTTGTCATCCTAAAACAAAAAGTTTTAATGTTTTTATTGACGTTTTATGTTGTGTAATGGTGCAAAAATGCAGATCGACAGACCAATATGATCATTTGCTTTGCCCCAGTTTCAGACCTTTTTTTTTAAGTCATTCTAGCACATGAATAAGTATTGATCATTGCACCTTTGAATGGAACTTGCCTATTAAGGGACTGTTGTCCTGCTGAAAGATGAACTGCCACCTCAGTCTCAAGTCTTTTGCAGGCTCCATCAGCTTTTCTTTCTGTTTTAAGCCTCCTTGCAGCATGAAGCTGCCTCCACCATGTTTTTCTGTGGGGATTTTTCCCTCGCACAGATAATTCTTTGGCCAGAAAGTTCAGTTTTGGTCTCATCTGGATGCAATTGGTTGCAATGGACTTTATTTAGTAGTATCAGGGTAAAGGCATTGAATATAAATATGTCACACCTTTCAGATTTTTGTTTGTTGATAAAGACAAAAACATATCTTATTTCTTCCGTTTCACAATTTGTATTGTTTTATCACACAAACACCCAATTAAATGCCCAGAATGCTTTGGTTTTAGTAACCTCAGATGGGAAAAAAGTTAAAGGGATATTGCTACCTTCCATGTCCAGTTAACCACGCAGAGGAGTAGAGAGAAGGTCCCTGCCCCCACAGTGCTTCATAAACTCATACCTAACTAGAACAATCTGTGCGCAGCCCTGGAGAACCCAGACACTGTTGGGGAAACTTAAGGAGGGGGAGGAGAACAGAGCAAAGCCAGAAGGAGGGATCTGGACTTCTAGTTAATGGCATCTCTCTTGCACTATCCAGACAAACCTTCAGATTGAAACCTGAAACTACAGAGGTGGCACGGTTCCCCAATCAGTCACATGCACTCTGCACTCCCTCTAACTCTGCTTCTTACAAACTGGTTTCAGTCACCCTTCCACCAGAGGGGATTTCAGCAGAACAGACTTATTCCACACTGAATGGTGAGTAAAATTGATATGTTTCAGAAAGTGCTTTTTTTCTCGCTTTCTAAATTTAAAAAGCACAGGCGTGTAATGCTGCTCCTTTACAGAAATGTGGTTTGAAGAGAGGAGGCATAATAGCATCAGGAGGTTTTCAGGGTAAAATTTAGAGATAATCTTTGAGATAATTTTGCATTCAAAGTATTTATCGACTGAAGGTTCATACAGAAATCTTAATACTGCTTAAATATACTTTCTCCTTTGTCTTCATACAGTCACTAATTGCTGGCATGTTTTCCTGTCTGACTGCATAGACATAAATGTGTATTTGGTTTGGGGTGATTCATGTGGGGGGGGAAAAATCCCATTTTCCAGTTGGGAGCCGGGTTTCATGCGGGACAGCTTGCACACAGATGCAGCAGAGAGAGGATAAAAAAAAAAAAGTGAGCCGCTGCCAGTTAAGACACAGACTGAGCAGAGAGCAGAGTGAGGTCCAAGTCAATAAATACAGCTGGGTTTAAAGGGTCAGCACACAAGATGTGAAGCAGGGAGCAAATTCCCCAAAACAACCATTTAATATTAGACCAAGAAGATGTACTTTATTGTATTCTGTCACCACTTTCATACGCAAAAGGTAGGACAAGTTATCAAAAATGTAACTTTTTGAATACTAAATGCTGAATACATTAAATAGGCCATAAAATACATAATTAGGGGTACAGAACATATGGTCAGCTGTACAATGCATTGATGACCACAATTTCATAGGTGGTACTTTCAATAAAAATTGCATGTTTTTTTTTTTCATTCTTTCACTTTGCATTCATAGAGAGCTCATATACTTGAAAATTGCTGTTTCCCCTCCAAAAAGTTATTATTTTTAAGTTTAAAAAAAAACTTCTGACTTTCTGATGCTATATATAAACCACACAACACGAGCCACCTGCATGTGTAAAGAGTAATTTTTAAAGATACCGTAAGTCTATTTGTACTTAGCTTATCTTTATGGGTATCTGCCTGCTCCCACTTTCCTGTCACTTTACTTTTAATACATCTGAATTTAAGGTGCAATAAATATTCTGTTTTATTCTTCTTTTTAGTCTGTGGCATGACTAATGTAAATAAAATCAAAAATTTAGTAAAATTAAGAAATTAAAGACACAAAACATAAAGAAGGCAATGAACAAATTAGCAGTGTGTACAAAGAACAAATTCTGAACTAATTTCCGTTCCAAATACTATCAGAAAAGTTCAGCAAATCTATATTTTCTCACCCAAAAAAATATTTATGTTCATCATGTTCCAATGAAGGTGTGATCACCGGGATATTCATTGTGTCATTCACATTTCTGACCCCAGATGAAGATGCTCTGTTGGCATTTCCTAACCCACAACATTTTTTTTTCTAAATCATAAAATAAATGTATTCTATATATATGGTTTTACTTCAGTTTATTGTAATTTATATATATATATATATATATATATATATATATATATATATATATATATATATAACAATAAACTGAAGCAAAACCATATCAACATGATCTATATTTCTAATCAAAATTGAAAATCTATTAGAAAATCAATAAAACACATTGATTATCAGTGCAGTGTAGTCATTTCTGGGAACTTGATGCCCCGAATGTCGGATTATAAAACTAGAACATGCTGGTGTTCTGGCTACCTGCTTTCATAGCTAGTCTACAGTCACTAGTTTATCCAGTATGCATTTAGCTTGACAACCAGTCTTTTTCTGGTGTGAATGGATCCTGAGTGCAACTTCTTCTGCTTCAGCTTTGTGCGTCACAAAGTTTTGAAAGTCATTACCATCCATCCCGAAACCTGCAGAACCCATCTTTACAGCACCAACTTTTCAAACTAGCACCACACAACAATAATACGTTATATGACATGAAAGACATGGTCTCATTACCTTCAGTGTGTATTGTTTAACTTGTTTAACTTGTATTGTTTAACTTTTCACTTGAAGCCTCCAGGTTAGGGAGATGGGATTTCTTTATATCTACCTGTTGAGCAGTGCTCATTTTTAGCATCACTACACTCTGGTTGCAAGTGAGAAGACAAAACAAGGGTGATTTTATAGACAACAGACAGATGCGCAGTTCTCTCTATCAGCAGGAGACAGGTGGGAAACATTATAAACATAACCATACATGCAAATATGCATCAGAAAACTAATTCAAAATACTGCCGGTGCATCTTCCTCCTTGCAACAACCCAATATTCAGCAATACAATGAGTGGCTCTTACTTATTTCAACAACAGTAATTTGTCAAAGTAAGACACATTTCCTAATAGCAGAATTTTTATTTCTAGAAAGCTGCTGACCAGGCCAGAGAAAATCTTCAGCACTATTTAAAGAAATAACATAGAGCAACAGTATGATTTTAATTTCATTTTTAGTGTACTTATATGTTGCTAAATGGCCCATGCCTAATTTTTTTTTACTAATACTACTAAAATTTTATTCGACTGACTTGAAAATTTGGAATGACGCTGCTTGAAAATACATTAATCTGTCATTCATATAATCATAAATCTCTGTTTACGACGACTGATTTACAACCAGCAAGAAAACAGACACTTTATGTTGCACTAACTGCCTTTCCATATGGACCTTTCCAGATCCTGAGGAGAAACCATGCATCCAGAAGCCTTATATCCCATCAGTCTGTGCCTGGTGTTTTGCCTCAGCAGAAGCTTGGCCACACATCTACCGCTTTACAGTCCTCTAGAGGGAAGTACGGATGAGGAAGAGCTTAGTTACATAAATTCCTCTGTTTTTACCGGAGTCCACCCAACTGAATACCAAACCACACCACCAGAACCATCGCAAGAACAAAGAACCCTACCAACTGAGTTTGCAACCTTTTTGGAGGAGAACATGCTCCTCATCCTTGTTTCAACCATACTCATTTTTCTTACCTTCCTGATTACCTGTGGAGCGTTTTTCATGAGCCGCAGGCTCAAAGTTAATTCCTACCACCCTTGCTCTTTTCCCTCAAAAATGTACGTGGATCATCAGGACAAGACAGGAGGCACTAAGATTTTTTGTGAAGTGCAAGGAAAAGTTGTGCCTGAACTAGAATTGGAGGCAGTGGACTCTAACAAGCAGCTCCAGGAAGAAATCCTGAGAGCTGCAAGCAGCCTGCGTACGCCAAAAAAATGTGCTCCGGCTGCAGAAAGAAGCGAGGCCAAAGTGAACGCAGCAGACCAAAGTACTCAGGATAACTTCAAACCAGATTGTAGCATCCTAGACAAGCAGCTACCGACTCTGCTTGAAGAGGAGCAGTGTGAGGTTTCTGACAACAGGGAAGATGAGGAAGCAAGTAAGGAACAGCCAAAGGAACAGCAACTGAGAGAGGATTCAGAAGAGCCCTTGACTGGAAGGAGTCTCCGGCCCTCTTCTCTGCACATTCACAATGAAACTGCTACGCTTCAGCTGATCGCAGGAGAGAAAACTGCCTTCTAATCACCTTCAGGGTTAATGAGAACTGAAACAGAGATGCATAAGCTACAAGCCAGTGACATCAAAAGTGCTTCTTTTTGTTAAGCAAACATTTAATAAATTTGATTTAGGAGTCTTCAAGTCTTAAACCAGAGTACTGAAAAGTTTCGGAAAGCAATAAAACTATGACTAGAATGCCAGTGCATTATTAAAGCAACCATAGCCTTGAATCAAAAACCTTTATCTGCTTTATGGAGATTTCTTGGAAAGAACTTAACAAATTAAAAGTTTCTGTCATTTTTTTTGTACGAATAAAAATGAGAAAAATCCAAAATGCTTTGTTTTCAGCAGCCCTTTAACATTTTTTTTTATTTGATGCCAAAAGACAAAGGTCAATATACCAATAATTAAAAGAAAACTGACACTGGATGACACCCTGAAACATTCCCACAGTGAAACACGGTGGCGGCAGCTTCATGCCACGCCCACGTAAGGAGGTCACAGTGGATGGGTGGATGGAATACCTAAAAACAGGTCAGAAAGAATATATGCTAAAGGATTCAAGAATTGAGACAGGAACCTGGTGGTCCAGCATGATGCTTTGGAGGTGCTTTTCTTCAGTGGGGAAAAAAAGCAGAACAGCTCAAAATATAAAGCTAGAGCGGAAGAGAGATATTCAAGATCAATCATATTTATTTCTTAAAATTCTCCAAAGTTATGAACTTATTTTATGGACAATCTGTTTCATGACTTGAAAACTAATGTCCAAACATTCCCCAATGTAATATGAATTTCAGCTTGTCTACAAAAAAAATAATATAATTAGTCTCCAAATATACAAAATGATTGGAAAAATACCTAAAAGAAACTGCAGTTAACTCTGCATAATTGAGCAGCTCTGATCGGGCTCTAATACTACAGCCGCCCAGAAGCAACGTATTTAAACTCTGCTCACAAATATTGCTTTTAGGGGAATCCGATGGTGTCACAGCCATTTATACAGATCTTGGACTAAGCTTAGAAAGCTCATAGAAATCAGAGCAAACATTGCGATTAGGAATATATTAGTCATTTAATTTTGATTTAATATTGCAGTCATGTTTCCTAAGATTGTATAAACCCTTGTGTAATCCCTCTGTAAAGTATATATATTTGTATATATATCTGCATATAACTATATATCTTTTGACTTCTGATATATTTTTACAAGAATAAAAATATTTTTTCTTCCCATTTCATAATCATGTGCTGCTTTGTGATGGTCTATCAATTAAAATCCCAACAAGATGTTGATCAAAGTTCATCAAAACATCAGGGGTTAATTGAAGAACTAATTAAATCTGCAAATGTGGTACAATAAGGATTGCTTTCCCACGTTAAAATCGCATCAGAAGTAAAGATTTACATCTGTGGCTTCTGTGTATTCATTTCTAATGTGAGCTCTATTTATAGTGATGCATAAAAAAAGACAAATTTGTCCGAAAATGCAATGATGCAAAAGCATTTTTATTACAGGCTTTCAAGGTAGCTTTTGTGAATACAATAAATTACATGTCGAACTACTGGACCCCCTTTTTTTACCCCTTCAATCCACTTTAAATGCAATAAGCCAGAGAAGCCTTTAGCATAGATCTCAACCTCCATTAAAACCTTTCAAAATAATAATTCCTCCTGAAAACAATCTGAAAACCAAACATAAATTCAAAAAGCATAAGGCTTAGCTTTATACCATCAACTCAAACAGTACATTGTGCGTTACGTGACAGCCTCAATTATACAGTAGACGGGGTTCGAGGACACAGACTAACACAAAGATCCTTGTGTAACAGTTTCTAGAACGGCTTGAACAGTGTGCGTTTGTTATAATTGCTGCTGGAAAGTAAAACCATGATACTGGACTGCTGCTATTTTTCCGACTCTGAACAGGAAGCAGACGGTATCCGGCTCATAGTAGGTGTGCTGGGTTTAGTTGCTGGCTCTCACTGCCTCCTGCTGGTCGTTGTGTTGCTTGAGGCGGTAGTCTGCGAGGGCCGCCTTGATGGCATCCTCTGCAAGCACTGGAGGAGCATCCGGCAAAGGTTAATTAGACATACACACATGGAAAAGGCTGAATCAAAAGAAAATATTTACAGAAGGCAAACAACATAAAACAAAAGGAGATCTTACTTGAGCAATGCAGCTTAACGGGAGGAAGACTGAGTTCCTTGGCAATGTCAGTGTTCTTAATCTCCAAAGCTTCGTCCAGCTGAAACAGAAGCACAGCCCTTAAGCAACAATACAGCGCTGATTTATTTTATTTTATTTAAGTCATGACATTTGACTTTTTTATACATTGTTTCATGAATAACTTAACATTGTATACTGTTTACATGAGTGAAAATGAGCATAAAGGGGGAAAAAAAAAACATAATTTAATACAAAATTATGTCCTTTTCTAAATCAAACCTGTAGTTTTATACAATTAATGAGCCCTGAAAACATTTACTGGTTTCTTTTTAATCCTCTGCATCTTCTGGAAATCAGCTCCACATCAGCAAAAAAAAAAAAAAAAACTGTATGACTACGTTATTACATATAACAGCAATAATAAGAAGAATTTAATACTATATGTGGCAAAATGGAAAAATCCTAATTACAAACTCACTGTGAAAAATATCTTAAGAGATTTTATTCTCTAAATAGATATAACTTGTCTTCAGGAAGTGTTTGATTACCGTTTTGCCTTTTATCCACTCGGTTGCCAGGGAGCTGGAGGCGATGGCAGAGCCGCAGCCAAAGGTTTTAAACCTGGCGTCCACAATCTTCCCCTGCGCATTTACCTCAATCTGTCAAAACATTTGAGAAACACATGTTTAAATAATTTAATCAAATCAACCGTGTGCCTCAAAATTAGAAATGTCCACTTTAAACAGAGGTCCTGTCAACAGACGTACATCTACTGTATAACAGTACACTATGTAGTAGATTAGTGCTTTGACATTTTTAAAGGCATGAACTCCTATATTCCTAATAGAAGGCAGACAGTACCTGCAGTTTCATTACGTCTCCACAAGCCGGGGCCCCAACCAATCCTGTTCCAACATTCTTGGAGTTTTTGTCCAGCGATCCCACATTTCTAGGGTTCTCATAATGATCCACCACCTTGAAAGAACAAAATGTATTCAGAAAGTGTGAAAACCACTGAGGTGTTGCTTGCTCTGCATCTCAAATGCATACATGGTCATTTGAGAGAACAGTCGTAAAATACCACTTATAGCATCTGACCTTAGAATACTATTAATAAGTGCTGTTGTGCAACTACAAGTTTCTTCTATTACAAAAGAGGTTGAAATGCACAGATTTAGATTTATATAACCACCAAACAGGCTTATTTGCAATACCCCCCCCAGCTCCCTTTATCCTCCAGTTTCTGCTGAGTCACTCTGATTGACCAGGCACAGGGTAAGGGAAATGATGCTGGACAAGATTGTTGCAAAGGTATCTCCATAAAATGATGAAGCATTACTTCAATGTTGTTTTTTTAAACAAATTGATTCTCTCATTTTAAGTAAGTGTAATCAGCTGATTGCTCACTTTTCAGCCCATTTCACTGCACTCATGTATATTATGTAAACAACCAGGGGTCATAGGTAAAAGGAGAAAAGTTTTTAGTTCATCTTTAGTTCTGATTCACACATAGTTCATTTGGTAAAAGAAGACACAAAAATAAAAACTTAGTAACAGCCACAAAATGTAAGTTTTGTGGCTGTTACTAAAAGCCCTAACAGTAACACTCAGACTTTATGTAACATTTCACAGTGCAAGCCCACCAACACTATATAGTATCAACTTAATCTAACTGCATTAAAACCCTTAAACAGCTCATTAGAGGTCAGATTACTTGATTCTAGTTTTTAAAATGTTAATTAGTTACCATAAAAAAAAACAACATATCTGATACTGTTAAGTGTTCTCCATTGCTTCATAACTGAGTATTTCTATCTGCTGCTGTGATGTAACCTAGGACATTTATTAGCAGCACATGTAAGCTCCTTTTCTCTGGGTATCTCCACAGTTACTAACAACCTTCATGCAATTTCCTGAGCAAAGCAACCATCGTTGTTTAAGTGTTTATGTTGTGTAACAACACATAGGTGAATAGAAACACAAAAAAGAACACTTTCTAAACAGATAAACGGACAGGTTTAACGGCTGGAGTGTTTTACCTTCTTGTGGTAGCAGCACTGAGAGATGAACTCAGGAGCCGAGAGCCTCCGAGTGAGTAAAGCCAGAGGACTGAGGCATTTCTTCGCCACTGTGCTCGCCATGTTTTCGTAATGGCGCAGTTAGCTGGACAACAGAACGTCCGAGAGAGAAGGAGGGGGAGGGCTGAAGCAAACTGCGCATGCTCGGCTTATGTAAACCATGGAGACGAGGAGGAGCCTAACTACGGGGTCTCGTGGGGGCCAAGTCCGAGGATGTTTAAGTATATAAAAACATACATACATACATACATACATACAGACAGACAGACAGACAGACAGACATAGTTACATACATAAATACATACATACATACATACATACATACATACATACATACATACAGGCATGCATGCATGCATTCAGAAAGTTGGATTAAACTATTCTGAGCATAGAGCAGTCATTGGTCTTCTTGGTCAAAAGAGCAAATTTGTTAGGTAATTATCTAGGGTTTAAATATTTATCAAAATGGGAAAAAAAAAGATTGAAATGTTGCCTCTGACCTGTGTCCCAGTTCCTTAAACTGCTGTCAATATTGCTATACTTGTTTTTTTATTTGCTCCTAGAACCTGTTTTTGAAATAAGCAAATATGTGTCCTTCCTCATTTGAGTTAAGACAATATTGAAGTTACCCATATGATACTGTGCAATCAGCATTTCTGTCTTCTGTAATTTAGACCAGAAGTCAGTCAGACCCTGTTCTGTTGGTTCCTTTATTAACCTATTTATTGTTGTAAAAATAGCTTATTAACAATAATTATGGGCTTTAAATTTGATTTAATTTACATCAACTTTAGTTGTCACTTGCCCACCAGGAAAGTGAGAACTACCTCATCCTGAGGTTTGAGAAAGTATTTTTGCTGTTTAGGAACCCTTCTGGCCTGAAGGCCCCTAGAGAACTTAAATTTGAACCTTTTTACAGACAGGCAAATTTATCTCCTGCTGGTACATAGTGAGAATTGGTGGACTTTACTGGGGATGGACCCTTTATTAAAATCTAGCTAATTTGGCCAGCTCAGGTCAGCTCCTATATACAGTAAAAACACCATACAGTTAAGGAAGTGGATAAGATCAAAAAGTCCCTTTGATGGAAAGAGAAAAAGGAACTGGTAGAAGCACAGGAACCAAGTAATACAGGTTGGGTTTTGCCACATCAGACAGAACCTTAGGTAAGGGACACTGACCGTTACTATAATAACCCTACTAATAATATATGTCACTGGTATTAGTCATGTAAATATGATCCGGCAACAATCCAACACCTCAAAGGCTTGGATCTTCAGTGCCAATGGTCATCTGAGTCCCAATGATTTGAGCCCCAAAGCTAAGAGGTTGAACCCCTGCCTGAGACCATTTAACTAGAAAAGCTGCACAAGAGGACATCAGCAGGTGCATCATGAAAGGAATTTTTATTATAATTATTGAAAAAGAATAAACTTACTTAGCATGAAAGTAAAGGAATATAAAAAAGGACCAGACAAGGAAATACAAACTGAAATACAGCACGGATTAACAGAAAACAGTTATGAATGGTGACAATAACACACCCAGCATCACCATTAAAACAAAAGGTTAGTGGTGAAATAGGAGGCAGTATTATAATGTGGGGAACCTTTTCATCAGCATGGGCAGGGAAGCCGATCAGAAATAATGAGAAGATGGATGGACCTGTGTGCGGTTAATTTATAATGAACAAGAATGACCTATTTAAAGACTCTTGAAATGTGTCTGATTCAGGTGAATAGCACGATTGGAGCCTATTTCAAATTTGTTATTGTAAGAAATGTTGAAAACAGTTCATATTTTCTTACTTTACCTCACAGGTGATGCTGGACATATTTATTGAATCCTTAAATGTGTGTTTTTGTTGCATCACAAAATGTGAAAAGTTCATATTTATGCAAACTTATTCAAGGCGTGTTCAAGCTTTTGTCCCTGGTTATCACAATTCAAGAACATTTTGTAAAAAAAAATATAACACCCTTAGCAATACCACGTGAGAAGGAGAAGTGAGAAGTTGCAGTCAGCACCAAAAACTACCGAAGGATTTGTTAATGTCCAGTTTCACCTCGACTCACAGAGTAAGTCTTTGGCTACATTTATGTTATTTTTACATAAAGAAATCCAGAATATGTTGTTCATTTTCTTATTCTTTTATGTGAACATGTGAAGTTCTTTATAATGAATGTTTTGTTTCTTTTCTTTAAAGGAAATCTAACCATGGAAGTGGATTATTATGAATATAATTATGATTACACTGCAGACAATGAAACTGACAACAGCACAAAGATAACAGACCTGCTACATTTTCACAGATCTTCATCCTCCCTGCCTCTTGTTCTTGCAGTATTCAATATCTTTATATCAGTCCTTGGTATCTGTGGGAACTCACTGGTGATTTGGATATGCGGGTTTAAAATGAAAAGAACGGTCTTCACCATTTGGTACATCAGTCTGGCTATTTCAGATTTGTTTTTTTGTGCCTTTTTGCCCTTTGAAGTGTTCTATAGCCTGACTTCCAGTTGGCCTTTTGGCCAAGCACTGTGCAAGCTCTCCTCTTCTGCTTTGTTTCTCAACATGTACAGCAGTGTGTTTCTTTTGGTTCTAATCAGCGCTGACCGCTGTGTTCTGATTTTATTTCCTGTGTGGGCAAACAACCACCGAACGGTACAGAGAGCGTGCGGGGCGGTTGCCCTAATGTGGCTCCTCTCTGGAATCCTAACACTGCCTTCAGTGATCTTCAGAACGACCAGAATCAGCAGTTCAGTCACCAGATGTGTTACGGAATACGGGGCCAACTCCAGACACGAAGGTGTAGCACTGGGACGCTTCTTTTGTGGGTTCCTGGTTCCTTTCCTGATGATTGTGTTGAGCTGTGTGGTGCTGAGTGTGAAGCTGAGAGATTCAACGGTCCGATCGAAAAGGCCTTATAAAATCATGGTGGCGCTCATACTGTCGTTTTTCTTCTGCTGGGTCCCCTACCATACCTTTGTTCTCATGGAAATGAACTTAAAAAAACACAAGCCGGAGGTGGTCGATGCTGGGCTGAGAGTGGGGGCCACCCTGGCAGCGGCCAACAGCTTCATCTACCCGATTCTCTACGTGTTCTGTGGCCATGACTTTAGGAGAACTCTGAGGCGCTGTTTGACGTCAAGGTTTGAGGAGACGATGGGGGAAAATACCCTCACAGCTGGGTTCAATTTTTCCAGATCCAAATAAAGGATTAATTATTGAGAGAAATGCTTTAATATGCAAATATGATTAACTCGTCAAGAAAATTTTTTTTTCTGTTTTTTTGTTTTTTGGTCCTCTAACTACCAAGTTAATCAATGTATTTTAATAATTAGATTTTGGAAATAAAACATTTTTATTTTTTGTAGATGTTAGCTTTTAATTTTGTTTTGTTATTATTTATAAGTGAAATTAATTAATGCTCTCATGGTTACAGCAATAAAATGTTTTTTTTTTATGCAATAGAAATAAGCATAGAAAGATTTCATATATGCCCTCCTTTCATTTTTAAATAAATTAATTAAATGACAAATACACACTGCCTGATTTTTTTTTTAATCTTACTTGCATACAAAGGAAAGAGCAGTCTACAATTTTTAGATGTGAGGTTAGAGAAAATCAACCCTAAATTCATAACAGCACAAAATGAATAATATATTTATAAACAGGTCATCTCCATTTTAAAAGTAAATTATTTGCTTGCTTGTTATTGAATAGAAACATAATTTGACTTTCTGGGTAAAAGCTGAACTTGTTTTTAGAAAATTTGATTGATATTTTGTGCAGGTGATCACTTGGCTAAATCCTTAAGGCCTCTAAGCTGCCGCTTAGCAACACTAAGACTTTGCTCCCTCAAAAGATTTTATAAGGTCTGGAGACTCGTTAGCCCAGCCTATAATCCTAAACTAATTCTTTTTACGTCTCAGTGGTCACTTTTTTTTTCTTTTTTTTTTGCCATTTACCGCTTTCTGTTGACCAATCATTGTAATGTTGTCCTTTATACTTATTAGATAAAAACAGTTAATGGGGAGTAAATAGACCAATAAAAAAAAAGACACCTTGACTCTAAATAAACTGCATTCAAGTCTATTTCATCACTTTTACTAACACTGGGGGATGCATGTATATAGGAGCAATGCGTCTATAGTAGGAAATAGATGGCCCAAAGATGAAATTATTTTAGGGCACCATAAAGGTTTGGGCTAATCCTGCTCACTATTATCCCCATCCAAGTGAAAGTATCTCATGTGTCTCCAGCGAGACAGTGATTGATGGTTGTTTTTATACATCTTCCATTTAATAATCCAACAAACATCTATCACCTTCTCCGCTGGATTCTTTATAAATGTCTTCAATCAATTATCCTAAGATTTAGCTTTTTGTTCTTGAATGGTCACAGAGAGTTGGGGAAAAAAGGGTGTGGTTTATTCAAAAATATCAACTTATAGCCAGATGTATCTGTCATTTATTTACTGATCTGCGATATACTGACAAATGACAATGTCTTGCGGGTCAAAAAGTTTTCAACTACCATGTTTAGTTGTGGAAGAAATACATTAAATTATCTTGTTCCAACTTGAAATTTTATGACTTTTCCTAAAGGGAGCCCCTCATTAGAAAAAGCAATACTTTGTTTTTATTTATGCTGTAATGTAGGTCATTTTTGACCCGTGGATTATAAAAGCACTGAGCAATGAAAACAAACACAATCTTAGCCATAATAAACATAAAATTAGTGTACGTAGAGGATATAAAGGTACCCTGAGCTAAAGCACCCCTATTTGGTTCCTCGCTGAAGCCTTGAGTTTGAATGTCCATCAGGTCCTGGATGAGATATTTTCAGGAGCTCAGGAGCAACAAGAGGAGGAAGAAGTATGTGAAAAGAAAGATGGGGAGCAATAAAAACGAGAGGATGATGCAAATTCAGATGAAGAAGAAGAGGAAAGCACTCCAGCTGACAGAAAGATGTTTTTTTTTAAGAAATGTAAAATTGCATGGTCCTCATCAAATTCAGTCAGTAACCAGGGAAGAACAGCAGCACCAAAATCACAAGGATGGCTTCAGGGCGAAGCAAGATAGCTGGCTGCCCATGTCCACGACTTTTCATTCACCTTTCTCCTGTTCATCACACCAGCCAACGAAATAAACTCAACTTGGAAAATATAAATATGCAAAATTTCCGGTTGATCAATCCAACCTGTATCTGAGAGAAGAAAATCAAAAGAACGATTCTCCTTGAGCAGAATGGAAAGGCATTGAGAGGAAGGAGTGCCTGCTTTGCACAAACTCTCTGCAGCCTTTGTGAAACCTGTTACTCAGAGAGCTATCGGTTCCAGTTAAAATATCTACTGCTCATGAACTGCCAGCAGAAACTTGTCTAAAGGGTGGCCAGAGGCAGAGGCTTATAGTCTTTGTGTGGCCACCTGTCCTTACTTATTTAAGTGTGTCCTAAATTTACCAAAATTCACATAAACAAAACATTTTATATATCACACTGGCCAGTAGTGGGCGTCAGCAAATTGCTAAAATGAACTTTAGCATTTTTGTTAGGGTGGCCTTTACCAAACCAGTGTCTCATTATGCCCTTGCTAAAATTCTGGCAACATAACTGAATGCAACTGTAGAATATTAAGAAGAAAAAAAACATAAATGGCGCTGCTCTTGTGGATGGTGTCATTTTGAATCCTGTACTGGTTAGGGGTGCTGTGATATTTAAAGATCACTGAAACAGTTCTGAAAGTAGTATCTCATTCATTACAAAGAATCCAGTTGTATTGATAGAATAGAGGAAAGAGATTAGTTCAACTATATTGATATTTATAATCACGGGCAGCTCTAGACATGTGCCTATATGAGCCAGTGCACTGATAGACTTGGTTCTGGACCCTGTCATGGTCCCAGTAAAGAAAACGTAATACTAAATCAATGTGTTATTATAATATCCACTGACAAAAGAGACAATAACTGATCAGTCTTTGAGCTTATCAGGCTATTTTAACAAAAACAGCCCTCTTAAGATTGGATTTCAGATTTCATCTTCTAGATCAGAGTTTCCTAAACATTTCAGCCTATATGACACCACATATATATATATATATATATATATATATATATATGTATAGCCTATATATATATGCTGGCTTATTTACATGACGGAAAGTACATATTTTTATTAAAGTAAAAACATGAAAAAAATTGGAGATTTGATTTTGAAAATCTCGCAACCACATAATTGGGAACTCTATTTTAGGTCTGCAACCGTATGGAAGCAAATCGTTTCCATATTTCAGATGGAAAAGCGTTTTCAGAAATGCTTTTTCATTTTAAGAATGTGGCTGCATTGTTTGACTCATAAATGAAATTAGTAATCAATAATCCTGTTTGGATTTTAATTTTCTTCTTCAAGACTGCTCATCCTTTTACTTAATTAAAAGGAAAAAGAAAAAGACATTTTAGATTTATTTTTCAAAATGAACCCCAGCAAATACATACCAAAATTCGATTTGAAATGTAAAATTTGAAAATTAAAAAGCATTTCCAGAAATGTTTTTTTAATTTCAAGAATGTGGCTGCATTGTTTGACTCTTATATGAAATTAGTAATCAATCATCCTATTTGAATTTGCATTTTCTTCAGCTAAATTTGTTCTTCTACATGTTAATGTTGCATTTTCTTCTGCTAATTTTTTTCTTCTACATGTTAACTATTATCTTACTGCTGACTGGAGGCTTGTTAAATAACCACGCCCCCTATGGTGGACGGCCACACCTCCACCTACGGAAACTAACAGATTTAGTTGCGGAAGTGACGCAATCGTCCGCAAGGATATTTTTTTCTACTCCCTACAACTTATGACTCACGGTTATTTCCTATTAGTTTAAAAGTAACGCATCAGGATAATAATATATCTGCGTTAGTGTTTACATCTTAACTTTTTTTTTTTTATCATCCAGTCCGTAACGTAGTCGTCCTGGATTGCTAACGTTAGCATAGCTTCCAATTCAAGATGGACGACAGCTGAGCTGAGTTAAGTTAGCAGCTGGTCATTATTATTTTGTATCCCCCGCTTCGTTGTCATCTCTGTCGCTCCTCACCCTATCAGCCGGACCTCCTTATGTGTTTAGTTCGGGAGCTATCAGAGTGAGTTCGGTCTTCGTGGATAAATGGCTGCCGCTGCCCCCTCTGCTCCTCCTCCAGCAGCCTCTGGCTCCTCTGCTGCTGCGGCCGCTGCTGAAGCATCCAGTCCGGGAGGATCCAGCAGCTCGACCGCGGCAGACGGCGGCAACCAGGACAGCACTTTTGAATGTAATATTTGTTTGGACACCGCCAAAGATGCAGTGATCAGTCTGTGTGGACATCTTTTCTGGTGAGATTTGTGGGACCTTTGTTTACATTCCTAAACTCCGAACGTAATTAACAGCTTAGCAACATACAGGACTGCCTTTAGCTGAGGTCTGAACCTGAACTCTATTTATTATTACCGTAATACCGTAGGAAATTGTTAAACAAAATTGTAAAAGAAGATACTTGATTTAAATGCTGTTTGTGGGCAAGCATTCCACTTTCTTAAAAGTAGTTTATAAAAGTGTTATTCCCATAAAAGGATATGCTATTGTTTATTTCCTTGTAAATACAGTTTCATCCTAAAACTGAGACTTGATCTTGTAAAGAGATAAAATGTTGGGAAAATGTTTTTGAAAAAATTTAAGAAATTTTAAGGTACTTTGTATTTAAAATAATTTGTCATTATGTCTAATTTGCTATGTTTAGATGAATGAGAAAATTACTTAAAAATGTCTATAGATGGGCTGCAAAACAACATATTTTAGAAGCCTTATTTGTCTTTTTATATAAGATCTTCATTGTTAACTTGCTAATTAAAATATCTATTGTATGTAGTTGAAAGAAAGACGCATAAATTATGTACCGGTACCTAAAAGATATCTATGCTATTGATTGATCAAGAAATTGTTCTATTTGTTTTGGTAGTGTTTTAAATTAAAGCAATGGTTTATTAATAATCAGGCTTTAACTCTAACATTATTGTCATTTTTATGTTAGTTCATATCTTAGCTAAAATTAAATCCAAAATCATACACTTTTTTCAGTTATTCTGTTTAGATCTTATGTATAAGGTTTGTTTCCTGAGAGATTAATTTGATGTTTTTCCTTTCCTTTGCTGCATCCAGTTGGCCTTGTTTGCATCAGGTAAGCTGGAGCTTTTCTTTTTAATAATCAAAAGACACAAGCAGATGCTCTACAAAAGACGTTGTTAGCTCAACAGGATCACTTTGTATTCATGCAGTGGTTGGAAACACGACCCAACAGACAAGTGTGTCCAGTATGTAAAGCAGGCATCAGTCGAGACAAAGTGATCCCCTTATATGGAAGGGGAAGCACTGGTCAGCAGGATCCAAGGTAAGGTGCTGTAGTCTGTTGAATAGATTAAGCAAAATCCATAGTAAGACCCTCAGGTTCAAATGTTTTTATTTAGTTTCATTAAGGCCCTGCCACAATAGAATAAGACTGCAAAATTAACCGTATCACAGTCATCTAAATCTAATGGCGAAGGCATCTGTTTAATGAAAAAGCATTACTGTACAATTTCAGGAAATAAGCTAATCTCCCCCTGATTTAAATAAATAAGCTTCACCTTTCTCTCACTCTCTGAACTGCGGAGAAACTTCGTAGCATGTTTAATAACCCAAATAGAGGTAGGAAATTGGTTTATTTCCAGAAATGTTATATGATTTACTAGGAACCACATTGAGCACAGCCAGCGATATAAAACTAGCTACTTACCACCAGAGTTGCCTTCCATGCCGGTTGTAACTTTAGCTTCTGTCCAGAAGCATCAAAAACATGGCGTTCGTTAAAATGTATGCCATGTTGTGTGTATGTTGCATGCATTTCCTTCCGCGGATGTAATTGCCACTTTGCAATGATTGCAAAGCGCCTCTTTGCCATCTTTCTCCTCCTTACAATGAAGCCAAACTTTCGATCGCTTTACCGGATGGGGCTTCATTTTTTTGTTTTGCTTTTCTAGACTTGCACCTCGTCACGTCGTACTTGCTTACTGAATGCAACGTGCGTAACTTGATAAAAAAAAACGTGACGTAAGTCATGCTACCCAGCGCTAGGCTCTGGTGCTGCCTGGAATCGTTAAGAGAATTGTAAAGCGAGCTGCCAAACGGTGCGAATTGGAACACAGGGAACCGGTTCTGAACAGGAACCAGTTTTCGATTCCCGTCCCTAATGTCCACCTTAGGCCATATAGCATCACGACAAGTGGAAGCACCTCTATATTTAAATCTGATTGCGGGGAGCATATGGAAAGTTGTGAAATCTGACATGGTAGAGGAGGAAACATTAACAGTATATTATTGGGTTTAGAAAATGATCTTTTAAATTAGCGGCCTCATAAATTCTTAAATTGAATTTAAGCTTTAGTGTCGTCAGGAGACAGATTTTAAACTGAAGGATTCCTGCAGACTATCCCTGCCAACACATGGAAAACACCTATGCCCCCCGCCATGCTACGTTTGTGCAAATAAACCCCTTTTCCTGCCAGTTCTTATGTCGCTGCTGATAATAATCAAGGCTGAAACTGATGGTCAAGATGAGGAACCTTCAGGTGCAGGTGTGACGATGGTGTTGGAGGCATTTTGGTGGTGAGAGTGAGCTACGTGTAGAGACAGATGGGAGAGGCATTGAACTGAAACAAGATCTTTCAAAAATCACTTCAATTAAAGGCAATTCAGTCTGCTGTATAAACCAATACATCAGAGGACACACTTAATCTGCTGTGAAGCTGGATTTATGCGGAATTTCAGGTCACTGTGTCACAATATATATATATTTAGTTTTACATTTATATACATATATTTTCACAAACTTGTTTTTAAGGGAGAGAACACCGCCTCGACCACAAGGACAGAGACCTGAGCCTGAAAACCGTGGTGTAAGTACATGAACGGGATACGCTATGTTTTGATTTTATGTCAACATCACTACATGTTTACATTTATTATCTAACTCACGGCAGCTGCGGAGGTAAACCATCCATTCATGATGAAACCATTACATGTATTTGCTGCAGGGTATACCTGTGTTTAACTTATTATCAGTCACACATTTCCCACTGGGATCCATTACACGTTAACAGCTGAGTTGAAGCTCCTCTCATGAGATCTCCAACAAGCTTTGCATCTTATTGCGTCACATCTCTCTGTATAACTTTTTTTTTTTTATATCTTACAGGGTTTTCAGGGCTTTGGCTTTGGGGATGGTGGTTTCCAGATGTCATTTGGAATCGGTGCCTTTCCATTTGGTATTTTTGCTACAGCTTTCAACATTAATGATGGAAGACCTCCTCCAGGTGGCAAATTTCACACTTGTTCAATTTTCTGTGTTCTCTTTTTAAGCAACGCATCAAATAACCTGTGCTCAATTGTTTACAGCGGCTCCTGGAACACCACAGCACATGGACGAACAGTTTCTCTCCCGACTCTTCCTGTTTGTTGCTTTGGTGATGATGTTTTGGCTGCTGATTGCATGAAAGCATTAGAAAACAGATTGTGTGATGATTTATGATGCTCTTTTCAAATACAGCTGAAACCAGATGTTTACATACCACCTTATATTTAAAGACAAGTACTTTTTTCCTAATCTTTTCCTGTTTTAAGTCAGTATGACCTACATTTTTCCGTTTATGAAGCACCAGAATATTAAGATTTAACAGTAACCGTAAGACAACTGCTTGTTGGCATTTTGGCATATTCCTCCTGACGAGTAGCGTAACTAAATCAGCTTTAGAGAATGGACCACTCAGTCACACTTTTTAGGTTCTGCTTATATGTCTTCAGATATTCCAAGAGGAATATCCATAATATTGCTCACCTTAAGGTACTTTCTCAGCAGTTTTTTTCCTCTCAATGCCTTCTACTTTGAGAACTGCAGTAATCCCTTCTTAAACAACCCCTCATCATGATGCAGCCATCCTTGCATTTACAAGTTTCTCGGTCCTCTGTTTGGTCATATGCTTATGACCAAACAATTCAGCTTTAGTTTTGTCAGACCACACGACGTATCTTAAACATTAAAGTAATTTTCCAGTATGTATTTATATCCTGTAATCTGGCTTTTTGCACTGCCTTTGGGGTAGTGGCTTCTTCCCCTCTAAGCAGCCTTTCAGGTCAGGTACAGGATTATTTCACTATTAATAAAGACTCTTACCTGCTTCCGTCAACACTGTACTAGGGTTAGTCCACATATTCAAACCATCCCTGGAACACCGAAGCTTCTTAAACTATATGGTGGTTGGAGATCTGTTTCTTTCATATTTGCTGGATATCTGCTCTTTTGGGTATCTGTAGGTTAATCTTCTTGTCTATAGTTCACTCCCTAATGTTTTAGATTTTTTTCCCACAAGGAGGTATTGCTTTTTTTGGCATTGCCTTACAATACATTTACAGGTATGCCTCAATTTTTTTGAAAATAGCTTAGAAGTCATGACCTTATGTTTAGGCTTTTCTAAGTAGTCAATAGGAACATCGGCTCTTAATGTTCTGGTATCTACTAAATGGAATATTAACCTAAAAGAGAAAAGTTTAGTCTGATTTGTTGCCATACTATAAGGAATGTTTGTCTTATTTATACTGTGTAAAAATCTGGTTTTAGCTATTAATGGTTCCAATTACTTTTTTTAAGTCCTTATGTTCGTTAACCAAATTGATCTACATCTATGAGCATTTCCCTTTGAATAGGGAACATTTAAGGTTACAGCTTCATATGCATGTTAGGATCAGGTTATTGTGATCTAAACCTGCAGTGACATGTCAGAATCCTCTTTGAAAAACTAAAGCAAGAAAAGCAGCTGGCTTCCAGTCCTCTGATGGCTGTGTAATAACACTCCCATATAACTGTTAGTTAGAAATCTGAGCAGTGAAACAAACCAGGGGATATTTTAAAGGTCTTAAATAGATTGGAAGTCTAATGATCCGTATTGTTCAACAGGAATGATTCTAAACTAGATCCTGATTACTTTTTCTTTTTTTTTTGGAATGTGATTCTTGATTTAGTAATGGAAAATTGACTTTTGGTTTTATTCAAGCCATAAAAAAAAAATGTAAGTGTGGTTTCTTTCATTTATTGGTTGTTTTATACTGTGGATCAGTTTGTACCAATCTTGTTGACATTTTGATTTTTGGTTACTTATCTCTATATTTCATCCAAAAATTCCAACTGCCAAAACTGCTATGTAATGGTTAAGTAAACGAGGACATGACTGATTTAAGTGGAGATGAGATGGTAGCGAATAGGTACTGATTGAGAGTGAGAATTGTCCTTGAAACTGAATTTGTTTTTCTTGTAGGCAGATAAAAAATCTTCTTTTCAAACAGTGTTACACACCAAACTGTAAGCCTTTTTCTTCTCTGATGTAATTAAATGTAAAATATTGTAGATTAGAGATGATTTAAAAACCTGTTGAAAATGGGATAACTTTTCTAATTGTCAATCTCCTCTACTGACAGTAAAGCTTTATAATTAAGTTATCAGTTGTCTTTCGTTCATGTTCTAGTTCATCACTGCAGAAACAAATGCACAAATAAAAAAACACACCAAAGTTTATTTAATTTATATGAAAGAAAATGTCTGAACAAAGTGGGACCATGTTGCATTAAAAAACAACAGTCTCCCTTTCATTTTACGTCTCTTGTGGGGCCTTTTTTTCCTGCACGTTAAATTCTGCTTCGTACATGATCTGCTGGATCTTCATTTTTGTCTCGCACCTTTTCTGTGGGGCCAGTCGCTTCAGAGCGGGAACGAAGCTCAGGAGGAACAGTTCGTCCTCATCCTGCCGCAGCCTGGTGGAAAACGAGGCGCCGCCTTCTTTCAGCCACTTTGCTGATGAGTCCGTGCTCTGAGAAGATGGCAACACTGACTCTGACAGCAAAGTCCGCTTCCGTCCAGTGCTGTTGGTGGAGGTTATCTGAGAAATGGGGGCCATCTTGGCCACCATGGCCAGCTGGGTCAGCTCAGTGTCCTGAGACAAAGTGGGAAGTTGTGTTACAAAGGCCAACGAAGGTTTTTGCTCCGACGGACTTGCAGCAACCTTTGTGATACTCTGAGTCGTTTTAATGGCCTGCGGCAGGGCGGTGTCTCCCTCTGCAGCACCACATTCATGTTCAGGGTTGTCATCCTCTGTGTTGCCGTTTCCATCCGTTATTCCGACTCTGGATCCAGTGAAGGGGGCTATAAAATTCATCAGATGTCTGTATTTCCATTTACTTTGTACAAACTCTCCCTGCTTCTTGCTTTTGAGCTCCATTCGAACTTCCTTTAGGTACCGGTCTCTCAGGTTTTTCCATTTTCTTTTGCAATCCTGGGCTGGAAAAAAAAAAAACAGACTTCAAGAGTGTGAAAAATCCAACATAACCAAAGGATTGACCTGACCAGTGCTAGTATGGCCTCATGGAAATTCACTACTTGAACTTGTCCTTCACTTGGTCAAAGGTAGAACCTGATTTGATTATTAACAGGCTGTGCATGAAAGGGACTATTATCCATGCTTTTTTTTTTCTTTTGCCATACGCCTTTTTATTTAAACCGCGTATAATCTAACACAACCAATAGTTGTCAAAACAAAACATAAGTCAAAACACCGGAAAAGGTGTCATGAGCCTCTCATGAGCCTCTAATGGTCTCTCAGTCTAGGTCAATATATTTGAATAATCAGAAACGACTGCTAACTGGACAGATGTCCAGAAGACAGTCATGGCATCCTCCATAAGGAGGGTATGTCACCAAAGGTCATTGCTGAAGAAGCTTATTGTTCACAGAGCTTTATTCAGGCACATCTCTAGAAAGTTTAGTTGAAGCAAAACGTGCACCTCCAAAAGGGTATATAAGCGAAAAAAAAACCAATGAGCTACAAGAGGCTTACATGGCCCAAAGAAAAAAAGAACCAGGCTGTTGCTCAATGATACAAAGTCCTGTTTTTGTCAGATTAAGATAAAGTTGCATTTAGGTTGGAGATATTTGAATCAAATGCCCCCCAAAAAAAAATGGGATAAAAAAAATCTTTTAAAAGTCTCAACAGTCTGTACATGAAAAGGAATTTATCCGAGTTGGAAAAAGATGGACTTTACAATTGTGTTAAGCTGTCTAGTTGAAAAGCACTATCTAAAGACACATTTTGGCAAAAACGTAAAAAATTTGTCTGATTTTGACTCAGAGTTTATTATCAACTCGACAGTTTAAGACTTGTTAAAGAGGATTGACACTGTCCTGCTCCAGTGGCAGATGAATGTTTGGCTGTGACTCTACCCTGGAGAGAAATATCAGCTGTGCTGCTGCCATCAACACCTTTGTTTATAGATGTTTGAGATCGGCCTGTTTTCCAGTGTAGTCCTGTTTCTCTGACTGTGACTGGCTAGATGTGCTCTCTTCATCCTCTGACATGGGAGTTGGTTCAGAGCTCATCTGCCTTGATGTGTGTTTCCTGGATGGTGAAGCCTTTTAAATTTCTCTGCTTCTTTCTCCTTGAACCCCTTGGTAGACTGACCGGGGTTCACTGAGCCTGGTTCTGCTGGAGGTTTCTTCCTGTTAAAAGGGAGTTTTTCCTCTCCACTGTCACTACAAGCATGCTTAGTGTGAGGGATTGCCTTCAAGTCAACGAGTTGATGCAATCAACTGGTTTTCTTTAGATAGAAAACTTTAAATAAATTTGACTGTATGATCTGGTGAACTGTAAAGTGCCTTGAGATGACTTGTGTTGTGAATTGGCGCTATATAAATAAACTGAACTGAATTAAATTGAATGTGAATTTCATCAGCAAAACAATGGAAGGGGATATTATATAGATTTAACATAAAAATGTAAAGGTTGCAAGAATTATAAATTGATTTCCACAAATTATTTCCGTCATAGTCTGCATGAGCTAAACTTATTATGGAAACAAGAATAGATCAAAGAAAACTACAGTTCGGGAAGCATGAAATCAGTAGATACTGACTCCAAAACACGTGAGGCTACAGTAAACCTTGTGCTCAATATAAACACATGCAGTACTTCTCTGATTCGTGTTTGGGGAGAAGAAGAAAAAGAAAAAACATATTTTTCCTTTCTTCTAGATTTAGGCATTCCTTTATGTTGAGCTATTACACAAAGCCCAAATAAAAGGACTGTAAAATGATTAAATTGTTTCTCCTTGTTTAAAGCTATGCATCTGACAGGATGGATAAAACAACCTGGATTTTAAGGTTAATTAACGAACAACTGAATATTTTTGTTAATTTGATTGCATTACTTATATTGCACCTTAAAGGACCTCAACTAAAGAAAAAGTTTTAACTGACTGAAAATGTTTCTAAAGTCGGATAATCTTAAAAGAAACCTGATTATTGTGTGGAAACTAGGTTTAAATTCTGAGCAAGTAGGGCTAACATGTGAATAATAAGTTTATTCTAGTATGTTGACAAAGTTGAGGCCCTCTGGTCAGCGGGCTTTAAGGAGCAGACCGAGGAGCGGCCATCAACTTTCCACTATATTTCTTCATTAATATCTTTTTTTCCAGCAAGGCTTCAGAGTTGTAGCATAAAATCAGTCACCTATCTGAGAATGTTGGGAGTTTCGTGCCCCTGCTAGCTCCGCGGTAAAGGCGCCGCGCCGCTTCGCGCGGCCTGCGGCGTGGGGCCGCGGCTGTCACCGCTAGCACGGCGCGCGCAGCCTGCATCCACGCCTACGTGGATAAACAGCCTAATGGCCGCAACTGACCAAGTTCAGAAGACTGAAGAACTTCTAGCTTCCGTAAACAACTCGTGATTTATTATCATACTCGAGCCGAGTGCGGCTAAGCCAAACAATAACTAGCAGTAAAGTTAAGAAGAACAAATACTCACATGGATAACCGAGCGCTACGCTGATGTTTCTCCACGCGTTTATCCTACTTTCCGTGCAGCGGTAATTCGGTAAAGTGACATTGTAGAGCTCTGGGTAATTGAATACAGCCAAAATTAACTTATCTTCCATTTTGCCGTTGTATTTTGGGATTCTGCTTCTGTTGCGCGGACGCGGAAGCGGCAAACTGCGCCCGCCTTTTCCGCCTCCGCCTTTCCGCCGCCGCTGCCCTCGTTATCGCGAGTGGCGGACTGGGTGCCGCCAGCGCCGCTCTGCCGTCTGGCCGTTACAGTGCTGAGACACCAGGGGGCGCGCTAACCAATGATCCTTTGGTACCAGAATGAATACTGTTTCTTTTTTTCCGCTGATCTCAGTGTTTTTTTCTTAAAAATATTATTTTAGTGATTTATTTCTATGTTTGTGAACAGAATCTCTCAGAGATATTCGGAAGAAGATTAGGGTCACTGAAAAAATACAAAAAGTTAACTGATTTTTCAATATTTTTTCGGTTTAATATTGGAAAAAAGTCAGAATTCTGACTTTAATTTCAGAATTCTGACTTTAATATCAGAATTCTTACTTTAATATCAGAATTCTAACTTTAATCTCAGATTTCTGACTTTAATATCAGAATTCTGACTTTAATCTCAGAATTCTGATCTACTGAATTCTGACAGCTAACAAACATGTTAGCATCAAGCTGTAGCCGTGTCTGTTTTAGAGACAAGCTCTCTTGTTCTAATGACCTTCTGCTCCTCCATTAATGAAATAGCATCACCGGGGACCCCTCGGCCACATAAAAAGTTGCCTAATTTTATCATTTCCCCCCAAAGTGTTACTGGCCCTCCCAAACAACTCACATCTTTGTCAGTGAAGCTGAGTGCTCCCACATCTCTTCCTTCATGATGCTCATCTACATTAAGATCCAAAATTCTGAGATTAAAGTCAGAATTCTGACTTTAATCTCAGAATTATCTGATAATTAACTATAATTTACCTGTCATTGTGGAAAATTAACAGAAATAATAGATTTTAAGAGGGATTAAAGTGAGGAAACAAATAAATGTGATCCACCATTTACAGCTGATATGTAAACATCTGATATGTTTCTTTTTGAAGGCTAAACATGGGATTAATTATCATGTCTTTGTTATTTCTGCATTTATACAATTTCTTTTTTTTCCATTTATTCAAAGATGTTAAGTTTTGCTTTGGTGGTAGATAACTAAGAACTAATATGTTCTTTTTTTCCTATTTTTTTGTCTATAGGAGGGTACATTAAAAAAAAAAAAGAGCTGAAACAGCGGAAGCAGAAAACCAATAAAGTTTAAACCTCAGGGAAAATGATGTACAAAATATACTGAGTCAGTTTTGTAAAAAGAAGTAGCAATTACATATTAATTTTAATTTTGCAAATTTTATTGTTTCCATTGCAAAGCTGTGTCTAATTCATCCACTTATTACTTAATAAATTATTACCCGCTGTAATGTAACCATTTTGACTATATTACAAAGACACTGGAGAGAGGTTCAGCTTTTAATTGAGTGAATATTTTTGCAATGTTTAATAATGATATTAATCAATATCTAATTAATAAATATAAATTTTAGATATATATTTATTATGAGTACTATAAATATAATTTTTTCAACGAGCCCAATTTCTTTGATAGCTCCCTCAGAAACGTGGTGCCCTGGGCACAGTGTGTAGGCCAGGCCTAAAACCGAGAAAAAAGCTATTTCACAAAAGGAAACTAATGAGCTAAGTGAAAACTTAAGGTCGACTTCTTTGTTTTCAACGATCTTTTATTTTTATCATTATTTCAACTGTTTTTTTTTTTTTTTCTGTTATCACTCTGTGGCTTGAAGTTAATTGATGTGGATCCTTGAATCTTTAAATTTGTCTCATATGTTATTTAGAGCTGGATTTGTTCTTTTATTAATTTCTGTACAATAAAACTATTGATTTATAGATCAATACATGGATCTGTATAAAATGTTATCTGTTTTTCTGTTGTATATTTGAATGGCAATAAGAGGAGTATCACCACATTTTTTCCACTTAAAGCACAGCTTGTGCTTGGAGACATCATCAGAATATACCTTACCTTGGAGCAGCTGAAGAAAACTGACTTTTGTTCAGCTGTTAAGTAAACAATTCATTTTATCTGAGGTTAAATAGTCCAATGTCTGAATGAAGAGCAGTGATGCTCAGAATCCAGACAGTGAGACGTCATCATCCGTTGGTTTTTTCATAAGGTAAAGGACAATGTTGTCATCTAGCAGGACAAAGCCTCACTGAAATATAATGTGCATATACAATACAGTACGGGGGATTTACTGTTAGCAATTCCCCCCCCCAAAAAAAAAAATCGAAATTTTTTTTATTATAAAAAAATCCTTTACTTATTTGTCTTTTTTAATATATTTTATATATCTAAAAAAAAATGCTTTTTCCCCCCTTTTTTAATTACCTGTATTGATCCTAATAATATACATGAACAGATAGAAATACTTTAATCATATTCCTCCCTTCCTTACAAATCTTTAGGATATGCAGGTTTCACATTTTGTATTAAATAAAGAATAATTCGTGTTTTGACTATTTAATTAATTGAGATGCATCTGTACAGCATATGAAATATATTCATGTGTATGTGGAGGGTATACTGTTCAATTTTTTGTTTTAGGTGACTTTAAATGTCAAATGAGTAGCACTGGTTCAGTGTGCAGTTTATTTGTGCTTCTAGAGCAACACAGAATACTACATACAATATCTATATACAACACTGCATATAAAACTAAGGAAAATTTCCATTAGATCCAAGAGCTTGACCTTTGCTTTTTCATGATTTTTGGTTTCGATCAGGTTTTGCTGGCTGCACTTGTTCCCCCCAGGAAAGCAGCAAAGGTCTATTTTACATTTAAGGAGTGTTTTGGTAAATACTAAATCTAAATCCAAATAAACAATTTATGTGTTCTCATATTCTTGTTATTGAATGTTTTTAATATCTGCCATGTTGCTATTTTTCTGCAAAAATGTGCACAATTTTTCTCCTTACTCATAAAAGTTTTATACAACTTGCATTTATTCATTCCACATTACATATTTCTGTAGATGGCTTCTAAGCTTTTTCTGATACCGATTCAGTGTGCACATTCAAAAATTATTGATTGGTTATCTAATTAATCTCTTCTTTTGAAAAACCACTCAGTTATGGTTCAGTTTTTTTTTTACATGCACCACAAAAAACATGATAAATCCCTTTATTCTACCAGCTGTACTTAATATTTCTCACAAGAGCAATAACATGAACTTTTATAATTCTGATCCCCTGAAATGAATTTTGAACCTTGTGAACCTACACGGATATTGGCGCAAATACTTCTATTGAGAACCACAATAACTGCAGATAACGATCTCGCACACGCCGCAAACTATACATCAGCCACCTAAGCGCCATTAAACCCAGGTGAAAAGGATGGGAATGGTGTTTATTGTTATCTGTTTTCAAAAGCCCTTATAACATGTTGGGGCTTAAGACAGATTGTGGAAATCCGTTAATTCCCTGTAAAAAAGGAGGTGTATTGCCTTGTATGAAATCACAGGATTTGCTGTGAGGGAGATGAATTTAACCAGTAATAGCTTTACCTGAGCTGTGCTCATTGTCAGCGAAGTCAAACTGAAAAGACTGCAACACGCAGATAAGACACAGGATGAATGATTGTGAATATAAACCACACTGATGGATGTATTCCCTAAAACTGCATCTTATGTACATCATTATTCTGATTTCACCAATCCATTCAGAATGAACTGCAATGGTCAGCTTTCAGTTGATTTATGTAGCATTCTGAGAAAATCTACTAATTATTCCTAGATCATTCATCAGTAGAAATGAGTGAGGAAGTGATATGAAATTAATTCAAAGGTTAATCCTTAAATTCATTGTACACGAGCCTGAGACCACACCAAAAGTGTCCATCTTTAAGTCCAGGTTTCTAATGCCAACCAATCCCCTTTCCTCTAAAACCTCAACAATGAGGATTTTAGGAGCTCTCCACTTTTCATTTTATGCAGGGAAATCTGATTTCTCTTGAAGAAAGGAATAAGGCGAGATTAGCTGAATCTACCGTCCTCCCTAACCTCTTCACAAAACTGCCCAGATTAGCCTCAGAATTAAGTTTCAACCGTTTTATGTGTCTGGTCCACTGGGGGATTATAGTTTTACTTCCATCTTTTTTCTTCTTTTTTTTTCTTTTGCCTATAAGGGCCAGGCTCGCTTTGTTGAAGAGGTAGAAGCAGAGGAATCAGTGAGGTGGAAGTATCTCTGAGCGGTTGCAAACCTATCCGCTAAACATTACTACTTTTGATTTCAAGGAATTTTCTTTAAAAAAAAAATGGATGGATTCATAAAGATGGAAAGACAAAAGTTTCCATTCACCATTGAGAACATTTTGAACAAATATCCAAGCAGCAATGGAAAAAAACACGCAGGCGAACCAGATGATCTCGGACTGGAGGAGAAGACATGTCCTGAACCTGTTCATCACACCTGCTTGTGCTGCTGTTTCTGCTCCCACTGCGCCAGCATGTTCCACTCTGACCTCATCCATGAAGGTAGGAACAAACCATCACCTTCTTTGCACAAAACAAAAATGCATCTTTGTGCTCTTAAATACCAAAGGGAACATATTATTGTTTGAACAACCTTTCACTTTCCACTGTGTTTAAGGTTGCAGCTTATAATGAATAAATTCCTTTTTGTGTCAGAAAAAAAGGATATTAAAAGGTGTGATGAGAAAGATCAAGCATAAGGCAGCAAAGAG